CGTCTTAATGTTCGAAAGAAAATTTCAGGTTTCTACGATCCCTAAGGAATAAAAAAGTCCTGAATTTTTATAACCTATGTCACATCACAACGATTTTCCTAACTCTTCCTGATCTTATTCGATGGATTATTATTATCATTATCAATTTGATTTGGAAAAGTTTTTAAAAGGGGGAGAGAGAGGGGGAACCTGTTTCACGAAATGCATTTTCACGGGGGTGGGGGGAAGGGGAGAAGGTTATCGAAGAGATTCACGAAAGGACACGTGTGAAAAAAATAATTATAATTGGATTTTCTTTTCCGCCATGTTTTTATCGGTTTTGTCGTCTGCTAATTGATTTCAACCAATCATAACCTTTGTTTTCATGCGATTAATATATAATAATAATAAAGAGAGAGAGAGAGAGAGAGAGTATGAGAGAGAAAATAAGAGAGAGAGAGAGAGAGAGAGAGAGAGAGAGAGAGAAATTCTATAAATATTCATTCGTATCGAATCGATATCGAATTTTTAATATCGATCGATTAAATTATGATTTTTACGAGTAGCCATGATAAAAATTATCGTTTCGAATAATTACACGCGCACGCGCACACACGCACACACAAACCGGAAACGGTAAAAATAATAAATAAATACGATTTCGACAAATTGTGAATATTAGTTATTATTTCCGTGCCAAAAAAAAAATCGAATAACGGTCAAAAGTTAGCAAAAAAAAAAAAAAAAAAAATGAGACGCCATTTTGATTTTTTTTTTAACCGTTATTCGATTCGTAAAAATAAACCGGAAATAAAAATTAAATTTTTCTTTTTAAAAAGAAAAAAAGGGATTAATTTAAAACGTTTTTCCCTTTTTGAATATATATATATTTATTGCATTTAAATTATTTTCTTTTTTTTTTTTTTTTAACCCGAATCAATTTAGATTTGCGGTAGAAAGTTTAAAAAGGTTCACCGCCATTTCCGGTTTGTGTGTGTCTGTCTGTGTGTGTAAATTTAATTGAGGTTTAACGCCATTCGATACAAATTTAAAAACAAACAAACAAACGACGAAATTTAAAAAAAATTTAATTAAAAGACGAATTTAAAAAAAAATTTGAAATTAATGAAAAATGATTTTAAAAAAAAATTTTTTTAAAATAATATCGTCTGCTATTTTGTTTGTTTGTTTGTTTGTTGTTTGTTATTTAAAATAAAATTAATAACGTAACAACCTAGATCGACGTGTGACGACGATAATAATGCTTTTTTTGTTTTAAACAACAACAACAAACGATTCCTACTCTTCTTGTGTGGCTTTGCCGCATTCGTTTTTTTTTTTATACGCGGATTCAACAACGATTTTCAAAGGAAAAAAAAATTTCGTTTGTTTGTTGTTTGTTGTTGTTTAAAAATAAAAATTCAATCAACCGTAAAAAAAATTGCGTTCTATAGTTAAAAGCGTTTTTTTTTTTTTTAATATAAATTATTGAAATTCTAGAATTTTCTGACGTAATTAAAAATATATTGAAACGTTTTAATTTTGTTTGTTCGTTTGTTTGTTTGTAGCGGTAGGGAAAACAAACGAAAATTTGATTTATTTTTGTCTAACGGAAAACGGTTAAATTAAACCGATTTATATAGAGTTTTTAAATTTAAAAATAATTTTTGATATCGTCGTTGAATCCGCATGAGGGAAAGCTTTCGATCGTGTGTTAACACAATGACCGATTGTTTACAGGTAATGAAGAGATTTTTTTTTCTAATGACACGAGTGCCAAATGTGTGGCAATGAATGCGACCGAACGTCAAACGTTTGTTCCCCTAATTTATTTTCATTTAGATAAAACAAAAAAAATTTTGACGTTTTTATAATAAATATATATATCGAAAAGAAGAAGAAAAAAGAAAGATGGCGGAAAAATTCAAAAGTCAAATAATGAATTTCCAATGAATTTTCCAGTTTATAAAAAAAAAATGAGAAGAAAAAAAAATAGACTCGAACTACAACAACAATTTCAGAGATCTTTTTTTTTTCTTTTTCTTTCTTTTTTTCATCTACAAAAGCAGACGATAAGTTAAAACAGATGTGAAAAAATAAAAGCTTTCTTTTTCCCTCCCTCTCCCTCTTCCCCCCCCCCCCACATCTCACAAGCCGCCGCGGAATTGAGGGAAATTTTTTTTTTTTTTCCCAACAACGATCGCCACTGCCAACCTCTTAAAAAAAAAAAATTAATGTCACGTGACGTATTTTTAATTTATTACTGATAAAAATCGTAAAAATTTTTTTTTTCAAACCTTGTTGGGGGACCAGAAGAAAAACCAAAAAAAATATTTTTCCCGAAACCTGAATGATACTAATTATATCATTGGACAAACTCATTGTATTCGTGTTTAGATAGAGAATGACAAAAAATAGGGAGAGAATGAGAGAGAAAGAGGGAGAAAAATAAAAGAGAGCAAAAAACAAGGAAAAATAGAAAGAGAGAGAGAGAGTAACAAGGAGAGAAAGAGTGAAAGAAAGAGAGAAACAGAGAGAGAGAGAGAGAGAGAAAAAGGAACAGAGAAAAGAAGCGAACAAGAAAGACAAACAGGACAGAGAAAGTGAGAGAGAGATTGATAAACCGAGAAAAAGAGAGAGAGAGAAGAAAAGCAGGTAAAGACAGTGAGAGAGAAAAAGAAATTGATAAACTGAGAAAAAGAGAGAGAAAGAGAGAAAAATAGGGAAAGAAAGGAAGAAAAAGAAAGAGAGAGAGATTAAAAAGGAACAGACGAAGGTAAAGAAAGTGAGAGAGAGAGAGAGAGAAATTTTTTTTTACGTTTCAAACGAAATTCTTATTCAAATAAATTGATAGATTATCCTAATAATCAATAACGATCGATTTTTACCAAAAGCACCTACTACCACCATCATTTAAATATTATTAATTCCAAATTAAAAATAATAATAATAATAATAATAATAATAATAATAATAATAATAATAATAATAATAATAATAATAATAATAATAAAACGTCATAATTATTGTTTTCTGCTAACGGATCGATAGTTTTTTTTTTTAATGCCGCCAACACAAGTTTTACAATCATTTTGAAAATTTTTATTTAATAATTTAAAGAGAATATTTCTTTTCTTTTTTTATAGCGCTATAATTGTTTTTCAAAGGGGATTCCCCCCTCCCCATTTTAAATGTAATAATAATAATAAAAATAATAATCGAGACTCCGCCCATAATTTTTAATACCCGAAATTTTTTTTATTATTTTCTTCCCCCTTTTTTTTTTTTTATTTTTAATGCAACTACTGGAATTTTTTTTTCTTTTTTCTTTTTTTTTCCTTTTTACTGTTTTCATCGGAAAGTAATAAAACGAAAAAAAAAAAAAGATGAAAAAAAGAGAGAGATAGTGAGAGAGAGAAATAGAGAGAGAAAGAGAGAACCATTTTCCAGTTAAGAAAAAAAAAAATTTTCTTTCTTTCTTTCTTTCGTTCCCTTCCTTCCTTCCTTCCTTTTCCTTTTCTATCTTTTTTTTTATTTTTACTTTCAAGACATTTGGGTTGATTTTCTTTTTTTTTTTTTGGAAAGCGAAAACCTTTTAAAAAAGTGGATGAAACCGATCGAAGCATCAAATCGTATTCGGTGAAGTTGAAATTTACCAACATTGCCGCCACATTACCGGATCAAAAAACCCTCCCCAACACCATCACTAATTTCACAATCATTTGATTAAATTTAGTAAAAGTAGTGGTAGTAGTAGTAGTAGTGGTAGAGGTAGTGGTAGTAGTAGTGGTGGTGGTAGTAGTAGTGGTAGAGGTAGGGGTAGTAGTAGTGGTGGTAGTATTAGTAGTAGTAGCGGTAGTGGTAGTAGTAGTCGTAGTAGTGGTCGTAGTATTGGTGGTAGTAGTGGTAGTGGTAGTGGTAGTAGTAGTAATAGTAGTTAGTAGTTGTAAGAAATGTAATCGTAGTAAACTTTCTTCCTCTGTCTCTCTCTATCTTTTTCTCAGTTTATCAATTCTCTCTCTCTCTCTCTCTATCTTTTTCTCAGTTTATGAACTCTCTCTCTCTCTCTATCTTTTTCTCAGTTTATCAATCTCTCTCTCTCTCTCTCTCTATCTTTTTCTCAGTTTATCAATCTCTCTCTCTCTCTCTCTCTCTTTTCGAGACTCCATGACATAATCCAATCTCACACGGTCATTCATTATTCACATTAAACTTCTTTTTATATATTTTTTTCCTATCCAAACAAATATTTTAGGCCTACATAATAATTTTAAAATAATAATAATAATAATAATAATTTTCTTTAAATTATACGGTTTACATTAAAAAACATTTTAAGACCCTCCCGGCCGATTCGTTATTTATTGGTCTATACGCGCACGCGCACTCACGCACTCACGCACGAGAGAAAGATGTTTGGATGAGGTAATTTTAAATAATAATAATAAAGAAAAAATAACCGTTGCACTTTTTTTTTTTTTTTTTTATGCACACGATTTTAATTTTATTATTTCGAGTTCCCGAAACTTTCTCTCTCTCTCTCTTCCTCTTTCTTTCTCTCTCTCTAAAAAATCAAATAATTACAAATTACAATTATCAATAAAATTAAAACGTTTCGGGAGGAGTTAAGAAAAAGATATAGAAGGAGTGGGAGGGAGAGGTTATGAGAAAAAGTTATTTAAAGATTATAAAACGTTACCCCTCCCCCCTCCCTCCCCCTCACTCTCCCGCATCCCTGATGTGATAGTGGCGGTGGTGTTTGATTCCGGCGGAAATTCCAGGTATTTCATCATTTTCGAGTTTCCGGTCGGGGGAAGAAGGTAAAACAATGAACAAACTGACTTCCGTTCTACAACTTTCAAAATCTGTTCTCTTCTCTGAGATTTTATTTATTTATTTATTTTGTTTTTAATCTTGAACTTGTCCCGAAAATAAAATTTTCTTTTTTTTTTTTTTTTCCAGGTCACGGTGGTGTAAATCAATTAGGTGGGGTTTTCGTCAATGGAAGACCCCTACCGGATATGGTTCGACAAAGGATAGTAGAACTTGCACATAATGGTGTTCGTCCTTGCGATATATCCCGTCAATTGAGAGTATCACACGGATGCGTATCGAAAATCTTATCCAGGTGAGTTACTGTGCGAGAGAGAGAGAGAGAGAGAGAGAGAGAGAGAGAGATATATAATAATAATCAGTCAATGGCCGAGAAGGCGGTTGCAATAGGAAATGACGTAGTGCCCGAAGCATGTTTAAAAAAATTGATTTACGTTCATTTAAACAATGTTTTTCCTGTCATGTTCGTTCGGAAAAATCAATAATAATCACATGCGGTGGTCTCAATCGATCGATAAATGAGGAAAAATCAAAAAATTTTCCAGAAAGTTTTAATGGAAACAAAAAAAAGGAAAATTTTTTTTCATATTTTTTACCCGAAGTTAGGGGGGCAAAAAATTATTGTTTGAAAAGATAATGTTTTTCCTCTGAATGCAAAAAAAAAAAAAAAACCGGATATGGAATTATCATTTTACCGGAAACTGAATTATTCTTTTTTCAACCGCATGGTGCTTCCTAATTCCGGCCGGGAAAAACTTTTTCCTTTTTTTTTTTTATATGTTGTTCTCCTCTTGGAAAACATGATAAAATAATAAACACGAAGGGTAAACATAAGATCACGGTTCATTTCCCAAAACATTTTCCATTCATTTCAATATGGATGGATGCTGAGTGCGTGTGCATGTGCGTGTGTGCGCGTGTAGGGGTTTTCATGTAGATTCCCATTTGACGATCCGCCGCGGATTGCATATGAATAATTTTATTAAATTTTTTTTTTTCTTTTTTCTTCTTCCTCCTCTTTTTTTTTTTTTGTGCGAAGATGATGACGTGAATATTTTAAGGGAAGAAGTCGTCGTCGGTTGTTGTTGTTGTTGTTTGCGCGTTTGTCTCTTTAATGCACGTTCTTTGAGTAAAAGCAGTCACGTCTCCATTGAAATTTTTTTTTTTTCCAAAAATCCTTCATTCGATTTTTTTAACCAACAACAACAAACAAACAAACAAAAACAAACAATAACAATCATCATTAACATTTTGCAAAATGACAAAATAGAAAAAAAAAAAAAAAGAAAATTAAAAACAAATAAATAAAACGAAATAAATTTTCCTTTTTCCTCGGAAAAGGAAATTAAAACATGGTGGAAAAACAATTTATTATCGATATCGAGAATTGATCTCGTTCGAGAAAATCGATGTTAAACGCACGAGAGAGAGAGAGAGAGAGAGAGATAAACACGAGGGGTCAATCATCACGCTTGTTTGGGTCAAGTATCCGAATCCGATTGGTCGACGCCCAGAAATTTTAAAAAGAAAAATTTTATTATTATTATTTTTAATTTAAATATAATAATAATAATAATAATAGTAAATTTTCTTCTGGTTTTTTTTACGCGATAAAATGCCTTTTTTTTTTTTGTTTTTTTGTAGATACTACGAAACGGGATCGTTCAAAGCCGGTGTTATAGGTGGTAGTAAACCAAAAGTAGCAACTCCTCCCGTTGTGGATGCCATAGCAAACTACAAAAGGGAAAATCCTACCATGTTCGCATGGGAAATAAGAGATAGACTGCTAGCAGAAGGAATTTGTAGTCAGGACAACGTTCCTTCCGTTTCTTCTATTAATAGGTAAGTAGCCGCATTTGTTTTTGACTGAAACCTGGTGAAATTTTCACATGGAGACTCAAGGGTATATGAGTATATGGCGTCGGATTTAAATTCGTGACGTCAATCAGATAAAAAAAAAAAAACGTTCCAAATCCTGATAACTTGAGGCGCCATGTTCGATCACCTTTTAACACGTTCGCTAACGCAAATATCCCTTCGAGCAAAAAACTATAATTTAACAAAAAAAAAAAAAAAGAAAAAGAAAAATCACGACCATGGGCACGACTAAGGGAAGGGAAAGAAAAAAAAAAACAATTCCCGGATACGTCACTGAAATTACTAAATTTATAAAAAGGGAAAAAATAATAATAATGATGGCAATAATAATAATATTATTACAAAGGAAAGTTTTTTTTTGCTTTGAGCCTATTACTGTTAAGTGCTTTCGTTGTTGTTGCTGCTGCTGCTGCTGTTTTTGCTTATACGAACGAAGAGTGCGTGTGTGTGTGTTTGTGTGCGTGCATGTGTGCGTGCACGCGTGTGTGTGCGCACACGTTGTCATTGTGCGAATGGAACCGCAGCAACCACCACCACCACCACCACTCTCAACATCTAATATAATCCTATTTTCTTTCATATATTCTCTTCTTTACCTTCATCATTTTAAGTGGTTGAGTGGTGTCCTTACACCCTGCTCTCCTCATGATTTTTCCCCCTTATCTGTACTACCCTTTTAAAATTATCATCATCAACCCCTTGACTTTTCAAAAAAAATTTTTCACCCTTTCGACAAACGATTGTTTTCTTTCTTCGCTTTTTTGCAACAACGCAAATATTTTCAATAATTTAATTTTCTATGTTTGATGTGACGTCATAAAATTTTCCTTTTTTTTTTTATTTGCTTTCGGATAGTATCGAATGCCGCCGCGCCGACCCAAAGCTGTAAAATTTTTCCTTTTCAGTCTTTTAGTCTCCCACTATCGTGATGATAATAATAATTCCATTTCTTATGTAAATCATATTTTTCTTTTGAGTGAAAAAGAAGACGAAATGATGATAAAAAATAAAAAGAGAAAGAGTGAGTGAGAGAGAAAGAGAGAAAGCTCAGTTTCTAAGAATATCATTTCCTTGGGTTTCTCGCACTGTTTCTTTTTGGTTTTGAAAAATCCTTCGCGCTGCCAAGCAGAGGAAAAACTTTTTCGACTCAGCCTTTTTCTTTTTTTTTTTTTTTCTCTTTCCTTTTATTTTCCTTTTCTCTCTCTCTCTCTCTGCCCATTGTTCCTTTTCTTTTCTTTTTTTCTTTCTTTCTTTCTTTCTTCATTTTCCATTCATTTATTTATACTTTTTGTTGTTGTTGTTTTTGTTTTTGTTCCTTCCTCCCCGGATTTCTTACTTTCTTGTTTTTTTTTTTTGTTATTATTCTCCTTCTCCTCCCCCCCCCCTCCTCCATTCTTTGAAAGTGTATATACATACATATAAATTACTTCGAGTTTTTCTTTTTCCTTTTTTTTTTTTGCATTACGTGTGTACAATTTATAAAATTACATTTCATCAAACTTTCAAAAATTCCCCCCCCCCTCCTCCACAAATTTTCCGTCGGGAAAAATAAAATTTCAAGTAATAATAATAATAATAATGATAATGTTGATGATAAAAAAATAATAATAAAATAAAAAAAAAATTAAGTTGTAACGGAAATGAAACATTACGAAACCGTCCAGACGGTTATCATCTCTCGAATATAATTTTTCCCCCAACAGGAAAACCGAGAAAAAAAAAAAAAATTTTTTTTTGTACGGTGTCACTTCCGTTTCCGATTTTACTTCGAATATAAAAAAAATTATTATTATTATTATTATTATTATTATTATTATTATTATTATTAAATAAAATCGAAAATTTTATTCTTTATAGAAATAAAAAAAAAAAAAAAACTATCGATAACTTTTATTGTAGTTGCGATAATAATAATATTTTCTTCCCCCCCTCTCTCTCTCTATTTTTATAGTGCTATAATTAATAATAATAATAATTAACGGTTATTAAATAAACATTTCGAAATAATAATAATAATAATAATAATATATGTAACGAAATAATAGAGTGTGAAAAAAATTTTATGAAAATGGAAAAAATTCGTTTCGCGTTTCTCAATTCGACAAAAAAAAAAAAAATTAATGAAAAATAATGATAAGGGGAAGGGGAGGGAGGGGAGGGGAGGGCGGAGAGGAGAAAACGATTCTGGAATTTTCTACATCGTATAAATATTATTATTATTATCATCACGTAATAAAATATTCGTTCGAATGATATATTGATCTTTCTCTTTCAGTTTAAAATAAAATTTAAAAATTTTATTATTATTATTATTATTGTTGTTAAAAAATTCGTATTGAGTAGTATTTCGAATGTGTTTTAATTTCGTCATTTCCGCTTTTTCGATTAATAATAATAATAATGATAATAATCGTCGATTGTGATGTTTCGTAATTCGAATCTATAGAAATTTTTTTTTTTTAAACGCAAACGTTTGTTGTTTATGTTTACCTCCCGATACCGTTTCCATTTCAATTTTCGGGTAAAAATTCGTTTGAAAAACAAACAAACAAACAAACAAACAAATCAAAAATAACAACAACAACCAATACAACCGAATATTTTTTTGTAATTCGATATCCGACAGGAATATTATCATTAATATTACGTAATAAAAAGTAGTTAACGACATTTTTTTCCTGTGTATATACTCACGCATTTACTACCACCTACCTGCCTGTTACTCACCATCAATATCTACCACATTTCAACCCCCACCACCACCACAATCGCCACCACCGCCACCAATAATTAAACATTTAATATATAATCTTACCTTTTCGGATAAGTTTTTCCCACAGCTTTTCCTGTTTCTATTTTCACACCACCGCATCAACCGTTATTAATTTTTTTTTTTCAACCGGATTCCTTAATCCGCACCTGAAAATAATAAATAAATAAATAAAACATCCCTTTTTAAGCAAAACGCACAATTTATTTAAACCGGTAATTTATTTATTTTATTTTTGCAATGGCGAAAAAAAAGGAAAAAAATTTAATAAAAATTATAATGTAAATAAATACATATGTATGTATAAATAATATAAGGGTTGTTTTATTGTTAAGGGTAGTTTTTGATAAAATTCAATTTTTTTTTTGTCAAATGAAAATTTATTTTCGAATCATTGAATTGCAAAAAAAATTTTTTTTTCCTTTATGTTAAACTAACGATTTAATTAAAATGATGATGATGATGATGATGATAATAAATATATAAAACAATTCATGTATAAGCGTTGTTGAAAATAATAATAATAATAATAATAATGATGATGATAATATAAATAAGTGGATAATTGCGTACATGTTGTAAATTCAAACGTAATATCTTAAAACTCGATCTTAACCCCAAGACGTAGTTCATTCTTATTGATCTTAACTCAACCCTCTTTTCTTATTGCTTTTGCCAAGCAGGATAGTATCTTATGACGACGACGATGACGACGCCGCCACTCCCGCCGCCGCCGCTGTCGATTTTCTTACCATTTCATATATATATTATTATACAATAATTTTACCTCGCGGATTTTTCAAAAATTATTATAAATATTTTATTATATACGATGATGATCGGGGCGTCATTTGTGTGCGTGTGCGTGTGCGCGTGCGCGTTCAAGACATTTAAATCATAAGGGTTTCCATTTATGACGTCACGTTTTTTTTTGGTATTTTTAAAGAGAAAATTCCGCCATTATTGGATATGATGGAGAAAAAAACAAATCCTTAATACTATCCTGGAAAATACGTAGTAGTTTCAAAGTTTTCCTTACACACCTTCCCACCGCCCGCCCCCCGTCCCTCGACCCGCCCCCGCCCGAGTTTTTTTTTTTCTTTTTCTTTTTTCCTTCCATCCTTACTTATTCACTTCCACGATTTTATTTTTTAAAAGAAAAAAAAAAAAATTTTTTTTTTTCAACGATTCGAATATTTTTTGTCGTGTGTTTAGAAATTTGTTTTTCTAATGCCACGACACCGGAAAAAAAAAAAAATTTAATCGTGAACCGTGTGCGATTTTTTTTTAATCGAACAAATTGTTAATAATTTAATTTTTTATAAAATTTCACGGCGGCGTGGGGATGAAACAGAGAGAGAGAGAGAGAGAGAGAAAAGGGCGTTAATGGTAAAGTTTTTTAAGAAAAATTAGCCCCAAGTCGTAAGTAATATTAAAGCATATGGGGTAAAAAAAAAAAAATTTTCCAGAAAAGCGATTAGGAAAAGTCCATATGTCATAAAATAGCGCACGACAGTAATTTAAAAAAAAATTATTTTCAACGTCTTTATTATTATTATTATTATTATTATTATTATTATTTACGACCGACTGAATCTTTTCGATTTTAAATATTCGAACATTATTTTTATTTTTTTTTTATAAATTTCAACCCTCGTTAAACCTATGAAAAAAAAAGAAAAATCCTCCCCCACCATTTGACTCAATTTTTTTACAAAAAAAAATATATTTTTTTTTTGCGAAACGACAGAACGAAAAAGTATTAATAATAATAATAATAATTCGATAGAAATCCGAGGTCGAATTGCGAACAAAAAGAAATTAATTTTGAGTGTTGTCTCCCCGGGGATCATCTGAAGAGCTGCCCATTGGGGATCACGACAATGTGCACCACCAAGATTACACGATGCACCCTCCACGACCGGCCGACCAACTCACTTTCGGATTAAATCTCTTTTACAATGAAGGTGTGGACCTTTTCCATCTGCATGTAAATTTTATCGTTTGTCCCCCTTACCGCCGTCACTCCCCGCTCCCCCTTTATCCCTTTACCCCCACTCCCCTCTTCTTTCGTTTTTTGAAATTTGTTTTCCCTTTAAAAATATTTCCCTCATCCTTTTTTTTTCTATTTTATAAAATTTCCTTCTCATCCTATCCCGTATACTCCGCCTTCCCCTCCTCTCCCCCGGGTACTCCCC